GTGCCTGGCTTATTTCACTTAACATAATTTTCTCCAAGTTCATCCATGTTGCTGCGAATGGCAGAATTTCATTCTTTTTTATGGCTGAGTAGTATTCCATTGTATGTATATACCACATTTTCCTTATCCAGTCTTCCATCTATGAACTTTTAGGTTAGTTCTATATCTTTTCTACTGTAAATAGAGCTGCAATGAACATGGGAGTGCAGGTATCCCTTCAACATGATGATTTCCATTCCTTTGGGTATATACTCAGTTGTGGGATTGCTTGATCGTATGGAAGTTCTATGGATAGTCGTTTGAGGAACCTCAGTACTGTTTTCCATAAAAGTTGTTCTAATTGACAGTCCCACCAGCAGTGTAGGAGGGTGACCCTTTCTCCACATCTTCGTCAGCATTTGTTATTCTCTGTCTTTTTGTTAATATCCAGTCTGGGGTGAAGTGATATCTCAACATGATTTCGATTTGCATTTCCCTGATGATTAGTGATGTTGAGCATTTTTTCATGTACTTATTGGCAATTTGTATGTGTTCCTTTGAGAAATGTCTATTCAGTTCCTTTGCCCATTTTTTAATTGGATTTTTTTTTACTGTTAAGTTGTTTGAGTTGCTTATATATTCTTGATATTAATCTCTTATCAGATGCATAGATTGCAGATATTTTCTCCCATTCTGCAGGTTGTCTTTTCACTCTGTTGATTGTTTCCTTTGCTGTGCTGAAGCTTTTTAGCTTGATATAATCCTATTTGTTTAATTTTTCTTTTGTTGCCTGTGTTTGGGGGACCTTATTCATAAAGTTTTTGCCCTGTCCTAATTCCCAAAGTGTTTCCTCTATGTTTCCTTCTAGGAGTTTATAGTTTCAGGTCTTATATTTAAGTCTTTAATCCATTTTGAGTTGATTTTGGTATATGGTGAGAGTTGCAGGTCTGATTTCATTCTTCCACATATGGTTGTCCAGTTTTCCCAGCACTATTTATTGAAGAGGCTGTCCTTTCCTCAATGTATGGTCTTGATGTCTTTGTCAAAGACCAGTTGGCTATAAATACATGGATCAATATTTGGGTTCTCTATTCTGTTCCATTGGTCCTTTTGTCTGTTTTTATGCTAGTACCATGCTGTTTTTGTTACTATAGCTTTGTAGTATAATTTGAAGTCAAGTAGTGTAATGCCTCTGGCTTTATTTATTTATTTTTGCTCAGGATTATTTTGGCTATTCAGGGTCTTTTTTTATTCCATATGAATGTTAGGATTGTTTTTCTGTTTCTGTGAAGAATGTCATTGGTATTTTGATGGGGATTGCATTGAATCTGTAGATTGCTTTGGGTAGTATGGACATTTTCACAACATTAATTCTTCCAATCCATGAACATGGAATGTCTTTCCATCTTTTTGTGTCCTTTTTAATTTCTTTCAGCAGTGATTTGTAGTTCTCATTGTAGACATCTTTCACTCCCTTGGTTAGATGACAAGATGCTATATATAGAAAGACCTAAAGACTATCAAAACACTCCTAGAGCTGATAAACGAATTCATAAAGTTGCAGGATACAAAATCAATATATAAAAATCAGCTGTGTTTTTAACACTTCCACAACAAACTAGCAGAAAAAGAAATCAAGAAAGCAAACCCATTTACAATAGCTATCAAAAAAAAAACCAACTTAGGAATTAATTTAACCAAGCAGGCAGGTTTAAATTCTATAAAAGGCAAGGAACAGATCCTCCCCTAGAGCCTTCAGAAGGAATTAGCCCTGCCAACACCTTGATTTTAGTCCCATAAGACCCATTTCAGACTATATCCTCCAAAACTTGGCATAACTTAGGATATTTTCAAGTTGGTCTCAATGGCCTGGTCAAGAGTCCCTGCTTTTATGCAATGAGTTAGAACTTCTCTTTGGGGTCTGGATGAATTAGACATTAAACACATTACCAACCTTCTACTGATATGCAGAATTGGGTGTTAGGTCACCTCCTTGTGGTAGCAGATATCAAATGTTACCCCAGGGGGCTGAAATTGTAGCTGTAGGCTTCTGAAAGCAGGGCTCCCAGGACTGAACAGGACTCCAGTGAAACCTAGTCCACTATGCAGCCTTCTTGACCAGTCCTCCAAATCTGTGCCTTCTCTGGAAGGAGACCAACATGGCAGAAGTTTTGGTCAACGGCCTGAGCCAATGCCTCTTGGCTGGATGATGCCAGGCAAGGCTATTGAACGTTTCTGAGCCTCAGTTCCCTCATATGGAAAATGGAGCTAAGGGGCCAGCCCTGTGGCTCACTCGGGAGAGTGTGGCGCTGGTAGCGCTGAAGGCTATGGGTTCGGATCCTATATAGGGATGGCTGGTGCACTCTCTGGCTGAGCATGGTGCAGACCACATCGTGCCGAGGGTTTCAATCCCCTTTACGGTTAAAAAAAAAAAAAAAGGAAATGGAGCTAAGAGTAGGCATACTTTTACCTTCCCATATTGTTGTGTCTCATGAAAAAAATGTGTGTGAACTCGCATTCCAACGCTAGTTGTATCAGGTACTCGTATTAAAGGAGCCTGTCTTAGTGATCTAACCTCCCCCTTGGCCCAGTAAAACCCCTAGAATGGCTGAAAATGATTTTAAAACCCTGTAAAGGTGTCAGCCTGAGACTATTCTGCTTCTTCTCTTTCAGGTGAAGTCTATTACAGAAGCAAATACCTGAGAAGTGACACCTACAACGCCAATATCGAGGCAAACAGGATTGTGGTGTCAGAGTTTGGAACAATGGCCTATCCGGATCCCTGCAAAAACATATTTTCCAAGTAAGTGCCCATTTTGAATTTGGTTGAAGTTCATGCTTTTTGATATCCTCGATGGTCAAAACAACCAACATCTGTTCCTCTGATGATTCTCTTTATATATTTATTTTTTTCATTGTACATGTTTATGGGGTACAGTTTGTTGTTTCCATACATGCATATATTGCATAATGATCCAAGCAGAATAGTTAGCATAGCTATCACCTAAACATTTGTCATTTCTTTGTGGTTATAACATTCAAGATCCTCTTTTCTGGCTATATTGAAATATACAATACAATATTATTGGCTATTGTCACCCTAGGGCACCAGAAGTTATTCTTCCTATCTAATTGTAACTTTGTGACTTTGTACCATGTATCAACCTTTCCCTGATGATTCTCTTTAGGGTGCATAAAAACTTCATAGGACTGGCCTTTGACCATATATGCTATACAATTCTTGATCGCTGATAGCAAGAGAGATGAAATGCATGTGATAAATTATTAGATACTCTCCCACATGGCTGGTGAGAGAGCAATTTCGAATTATCTATCAAAATTACAAATGCACATTCCCGCTGGTCTAGATATCCTTGCTTGTGTCTGAAGTGACAAATGTACAAGGTTATTCATGGCTGCATTATTTGTAATAACAAGATACTGAAAACAACCCAAATGTCCAGCAACAGAGGAGTGGTTATAACAGTGTTGGGCTCTTTTACCTGCCTGTAATCCTGCTGACTGGGCCAATTGTAGAGCTAGGGCTGGGTCTGGAGCTCACAGACCCCTCAAGCCCATTCACAGACTGGGTGACAAACCCTTCACACACCAGGCTGGGTCACCAGAGCCCTCACACACAGGTCTATGTGCTGGGTAACCGGCAAACAGGTCCTTGGAAGCCGTAGGTTGGAGAGCATGGCTGTGAGTAGCGGCCACCTGAGGCAGTAATTAAATGCCAGCCAGGCCACTGTGCTGCACATGCGCATTAACTCCACCCACACACAATTTACAAAGAATGTGCCGCACCACCCCCAACTGGGCCTAGGGCAGGGGTACTGATTAAATTATCCTATTTTCCCAACAAACAGTAAAAGTGTACAAGAAAATGCCATGCTGGAGTAAAAAGGAGGATGCTCTTTATGTACAGTGTGGAAAGATTTCTAAGATATATTGCTAAGTTAAAAAAAAAAGCAAGGTATAGAAAGAGCATACGATGTGCTATATTTTGTATAAAAAAGCAGGAGGAAATCTAGATTTATTTTTGCTTGTTTATACATAAAGAAACTCGGAAAGGATTCTTAAGGGAGGTGGGAAACTGGCCAATGATGACAAAGATAGGAGAGATTTGGGGCTGTATATGTTTTAAATCATTTGGGTTACGATGCATATGAATGTATAAAATTTTAGACAATTAAATTAAGTTCTTGGCCAGGGAGTCAGACCTTCCATCAGCATCTCCTTTCTGATACTTTTTAGACATAAAAGGGTTATGAAAGGGTTAGGGGTCAACTGGCCCCGAGATGTCAGATTGCTCCTGCTTTTCCAGAAATGACATCATCTCTCCAATTCCAGTATCCAGCCCCAGGGCTGGCAGAGAGCAAGACTGAACTCACATTTGCAAATGGGGGGAGGGGGAGGAGCCCATGAGAAAGGGAGAGAGGTGCAGGGGTGGATTTAAAACTACAGCTGTGGGGTATCCTTGCTGTTATACTATCTGTCAGTAGGGGAAGCATCACCCAATACACAGATCCAGTACTTGCCAATTTCACCAATAAACTCCTTTGGGTTTTCTTTCTTCCTGCTTGGAGTATTCCTTTTTTAAAAAACTAATTTCCTGGATGAAGGGGAGATAACCAGTGTGGACTCACATTCCTGCCAAAGCAGGGATTGGCTGTTTCTCTAGGCTTTGGGGGCCGTTATGGGTGCATGTATAATTTCTGTAGAGCTTCTTCAAATACTTTGGAACAACCCACTGGCTCCTGCTGCCTGTGGAATTGGATTTTGAGAGCCCAGGAGGGATCCGCTGGCTGCCGTATTGTCCCAGATGACTCACTTCTTAGCTGACTCTGTGTGGTGGTATCTTTGGGGAGCCTGATATCAGAGTCCTCCGGATTCCTCTGGTGACCCACTGGGACCCAGAACTTTTTCTCCCTTAGTTTAAGTACAGTGGTTTAGGTGGTAGGAAAACTAAAGCCATGTAGGGCAGAGCTTTGTGGCTCGATAGATACACTGTTGACCCTGTGGATTTTCTTTTCCCCACAGAGCATTCTCTTACTTGTCTCACACCATCCCAGATTTCACAGACAACTGCTTGATAAACATCATGCAGTGTGGAGAAGACTTCTATGCAATCACAGAGACCAATTACATGAGGAAAATCAACCCACAGACTCTGGAAACCCTGGAAAAGGTATCAACAGATCCACAACCAGCATCGGTTCCTGTCTTAGGAAAGGGACCCCTGGGTGAAGCTGTGTAGCCTGCAGGGAGCTCACTGGAGGGTCCCCTCCTCTAATGCCATTTGTTCCCGGGTTTCCCCTAGCACAGCATTTAGTACTAAATTCTAAGCTCCTTGAGGGCAGTGATTGCATCATTTCCAGTTTTGTGTCTGTATTGGTTTCCTGTGGCTGTTGCAACAAAGTACCATAAACAAGGTGACTTGAAACAATAGAAATTTACTCTCTCATAGTTCTGGAGGCCAGAAATTTAAAATCAAGGTGTCAGCAGGGCCAGGCTCTCTCTGAAGGCATCAAGGGAGGATCCTTCCTGCCTCTTCCAGCTTCTGGTGGTAAGAAAACTAAAGCCATGTAGGGCAGAGCTTTGTGGCTCGGTAGATTGCCAGTAATCTTCGGTGTTCCTCAGCTTGTAACACATCAATCTCTGCCTTCATCCTCACACAGCATTCTACCTGTGGGTCTGTGTGCCCAAATTTCCCACCTTTTATAAAGACACAAGTCATTGGATTAGGGCCCACTCTATTGCAGTATGACATCTTAACTTAATTATACCCACAAAAACCCTATTACCAATAAGGTTACATCCAAAATTACCAGGGGTTAGGACTTCACCAAGCTTTTTGGAAGATACAGTTCAGCCTGTAACCATGTCCACAGTTCTTGGCACTGAGGGAGCTCACTAAAAGTTTGAATGAATGTGTGGGAACACCCATGATCCCCAGCAGCACTACCTTGTACTGACCTGAAGAGGGAGGCATTAGGCAGAGCACAAGGGCACACAGCTAAAAGCCCCAGCAGATACCTCACCTGGGAAGAATGACGTCAACATTTCTGTGAAAATCAATAGACCCACTCTCAATTTTCTTCAGCTGGTTGTTTAAGGCCCCAACCTCTTTGCAATACATTTTAACAATCTATTAAAGGGAGTGCTTTTCGTAGCTGTGAAACTATGTCCTTTTAAGCAAGGAGATATAGATCCAACTAATCTGCACTTTCCACAAAGCTACAGAGAGGAAATACTGGGAGAGAATGGAGCATTACACAGCTCCTGGCTGGAGGCTGTGTTATTCCAGGAGAGGAAAGGTGGGCAGCTGGTCTCCAGCCACACCATTGTTGTACAGTTGTGGCCTGCTTGGAGCAGAAGTCATTATTCAGCTTGTTGGTTGAGTTTTGCTTTGCTCAAATGTTTTTGTAACTTCTCTGTTTCCAGAATAATCTTATGAGGGAGGCTTGGAAATTTATGCCTCTGGGGAATGCAAAAGGGGAGAATTTAAATGACTTCACCAGAATGACATTGGAGCAGTGGCCACGGTTAGCTCAAAGACTGCCTTTTCTGCCCAGGTCATTGCTAGACCTTTCTGTGGCGAGGCATCTTGTCTTTATGCTGAGGACACTGCAGGACCAGGCAGCAGGGTTGGGACAACAGCCACAGAAAACACACCAGCTCACTAACTCCCTGCAATCACTTTGCTATAGGAGTCTTCCTTCCCCAACTTGAGGTTAAGTCAGGTCGCAAGAGTAAACATCCTCTTTAGAGGCAAATTCTGTTTTATTTCACATCATGGGAGGTGTAAAAACATCATCTCTCTGAGCCTAGAATCAGTCAGGTTTTCACAGGATTTCACTCTCTCCCCTTTTTAAAACCAGGTGGCTGTCATATTTTGCAGGTTGATTATCGAAAATACATGGCTATAAATCTGGCAACTGCACATCCTCATTATGATGAGGCTGGAAACATTCTCAATATGGGTACTTCCATTGTGGACAAGGGGAAGACAAAATATGTGATGTTTAAGATCCCTGCCCCAGCACCAGGTAGGTCATTCTGGGGAACGTGGTGAGACACAAAGAGCCAAGGGCGGCTCCTTCTGAAGCATTCTGACAACACAGGACTCAAAGTGATACTTTCCGCCATAAATTATTCAGATGACCGTGAACTCAGTGGGATTTCTTTTGGATGAAAGGAAGCCCATTCACAAACCCTTCACACGCAGGTCTATGAACCAGAAAAAGGTCCTTGGAGCTGTAGTTGAAGAAAGAATAGTCTTTATTCAGCACACACACGTCTAAGAGCTAAGCAGTCCAAAGAGAAACTCCAAACTCAACGGCTACTGGCAAAGTCCAAAGGAAAAACTGAGCAGCTGCCAGCAGAGTAAACGTGCTCTATTTTTAGATGAGAGCTCTACCAGCCAGCTTCTGCTTCACAAATTGAAGAGCATACAATAGCAACAAACTGGAAAGATACATGGGTGCACATGTGCACTAACTCCACCCACACAACTTGTTTACAAGAAATGTGCTGCTCTACCCCCAACTGGACCTGAGCAGAGGGAGCCTGACTAAATTATCCTATTTTCCCCACACGGTCCATCCATTTTTTTAGTCTTCCGGCAAACCTTTGTATGCAGGGTTGAGCCTCCACTTCCATTCCCCACCCCTGAGCCGGGCTCCTGAGGTTGTTTAGGGAGCTCAGCCCTGCTGGGATCCCCTCCAGATCCCCACCCTCTTCTCCCAGCCTTCTGGCCCTTCTCCACTTAGGGCCGGGATCCTGGAGCAAAGCCCAGGCCAACTGTGATTGCATGTTCCTGAGGGGGAGGAGGCAAGGCTCCCAGCGCATGTTTGTCCAGGACCCTCCTGGGAACTACGCCTGGGAGACAAGGCCTCTTTCAAGGGCAGCTGTGCAGGACTCGAGACAGTGCAGAAGTGCAAGGGGGATGCTTGACCTGACCTTCTGGTTTAGGAAAACTAGTTTCCACCTGTGATCCCTGCTGGTCCTCTTCCTCCACAGTCCTATAGAACCTCCTGAGCAAATGACCAAGCTCTGCGGGAGGCATGAGCCCCCGAGGTCAGAAGGTACAATGAGTATTCTTGTTAAATGGAACTCCCATTAATTAAGCCAGTAAAGGGATATAGCATTGAGCTCAGAATCCTAGAATGTCAGACTTGGGGATTGTCTAGGCATTTCAGTTTGCCTCCTCGTACAACAGAGTAGAACGGTGAGGCTGAGGGGGATGAGGTGACATGCCCACAGTCATGGAGCTACCAGCATGCACATGGCAACCCCCTGACCACCCGTTCCGTGCTGGTGGCTGCACTGGGACTCAGGTCCTACACTGTGCCTTCCAGGCCAGAATGATTTTCATGTTGGTTTGCACCGTGCTCCATTTGTTTTGTGAAGGAAAGAGCGATCCCACAACCCTATTGCATCCCTCCCACCAGCCAGCTGTTTATAGTGTGCACAGGTGGCCACAAGAGAGGTGGGGACGTTTGCAGATAACTCATTATAGACCAGCCCCAGGCCTGGGTGGGGAGGCCTCTGGCCAGTGAGTGACTCATCGTAGCAGAGGAATAAGAAAACCCAGCACGCACTGAAACCTTTGGTGTCTGGGCGCCAGGTGAGACACTCGCACGACTGACAGCATCATTTCGTTGTCTTCTCTGCCTTCACCTGTGAGTGTTACGATCCCTAATAACAGAGGAGGAAGGCAAGTCTCAGGGGGCCATGTTTTCTTGGCTTAAACCTGTGACTTTGGCCATTACAGTAGACCATTCCACCCAGCCTCAGTTTCCCATCTGTGAAATGGACACTCTACAGCCTGTCTTGATTGTCACATTATATATAAAATCCCCTCATGACAACAGGCACTTGGTTCCATTCACAGGTGTTTTGAAATGGACAGTACCAAGAGAAATTCGTGGAAACTTGTGGAATACGGATCAAATGATGGTTCCCAGCAAAATTTCAGAGCTTAAGCCTAAGAAACTCACCCTTCACCTGGGAGCTTGATAGAAATGCAGAATCTCAGGCCCCCACCCCAGCACATTTTATCAAAATTGCCAGATGTTTGATATGCACATTAGTTTGAGAGGCACTGCTTTACAGGTGAGGTTGGCAAACTTCTTCTGTAAAAGGGCCAAATAGTATATATTTAAGGTTTTGAGGACCCTATCATCTGTGTCACAATGGCTCACCTCTCCACCATTGTAGCTTAAAAGCGAAAGCAGCCATACATGATGCAGAAAGGAGTGAGCATGGCTGTGTTCCAATAAAACTTTATTTACAAAAGCAGATGGAGGCTAGGCGTGGTCCCCAGCCTGTAGTTGCAGACCCCTGGCTTGGAGTCCTCCCTCTGTGGTTCAGTGGTTTTCAGATTGTAGAACAGGAAGATCACAGCTCCTGTCCCCTACATCAGCCACAGCAGCAACTTCTTTCTCTGGTCTACTTGTTGGCTCTTAAAGATTCTTCTTAGCAACAGAGACAGTTTGTAGGTGAGGGTGCTGTTGTCCGGGGAGCTGCCAGATCCTGCATGATTCCGAGGCTTGCTTTTCTCTAGAGGCCAAGAAGAAGGGGAAGAGCCCCCTGAAGCACGTGGAGGTGTTCTGCTCCATCCCCTCTCGCTCCCTCCTCTCCCCGAGCTACTACCACAGCTTTGGTATCACCGAGAACTACGTTGTCTTTCTCGAGCAGCCGTTCAAGTTGGATATTCTCAAGTTGGCAACCGCGTACATGCGGGGAGTGACCTGGGCTTCCTGCCTGACTTTCCACAGGGAGGACAAGGTGAGGCCTGGCTGGGGTGTCTAACCCAGAGGGGGGCCTGGCTGCCCAGCCACAGGAGCAGACTGAGAAGGAGACAAGGCAAAGAAGCAGCATGGGTGGAGGGAAGGAGGAGGCTACCGTGCAGTCACCCTTGAGGCATCCGCCAACCTTCCAGAAGGTTCTGAAAGCTGGATGGTCCTTCAGTAGTTAAAGCCAAGTTAGAGCAAGGGGTCTGAACCTTCATACCCCCACGTAGATAAGTCACTGAACACAGATGGTCCTGGGAAGGGGGTGTGACCTTGAGCAGCCAAAGCAGTTCCCGCATGCCCAGCAGCAAAGGGACCAAGTCCTCAATCCTGAAGAATCGCTGGGCACCACGCAGTCTCCACCATCCATTGATAAGGCACCTTCAGCCACTCAGCTGCCACCACGTAATGTCGGGGGGAGAGGGGCAGGTGCCAGAGATTATTTAGACATGGTAACGATAGAGCATTCCACCAGATCGTTCAGTAGAAACATCTTCAGGTATACCTGAGTGCTCAAAGTATATATGTATGTATGTGCATGTGTATGTATGCATGGATACGT